ATCTCACTGTGTTTCCAGCCGCTAAGGGCCGCCCTGTTACACTCGGACAAACTCCAAAACACTCAGGAGATACATCGCCAGAACCAGACAAGTTCTGTCAAGCGACACAGCAGAGGTTCTTGTCCATGCATTTGTGTCTCACGCGTTGATTATTGTAATGCTCTTCTTTCTGGGCTACCAAAGAAAAGTTTTAGAGGTCTACAGATGGTGCAAAATGCAGCTGCTCGCATTTTAACAAGAACTGGGAAATTTGAGCACATTAGCTCTGTGCTGAGATCTCTGCATTGGCTACCTTGTCAGGTTCTCGTGCTCTCCGATCTCAGGACTCTGGCCTTCTAAAAGTTCATAGAGCCAGAACAAAGAGAATTTTAGAGCTTTTTCTTTTCGTGCCCTTTTCTGTGGAACAACCTCCCTCAAGATGTTAGGCAGGCTGCTCTGTGGAGGTTTTTAAAGCTAAGTTGAAGACACATTTGTTCACCTTATCCTACATGTCTTAATTCTGTGGCTTTTAGTTTTTAAATTTTCATTGTTTTTAGCTCGTATTTTGTCTTTTACCTGTATTGCTATGTATCGCTTTTATTTTATTTATCTTTTTAGTTGTACAGCACTTTGTTTGAAAGCGCTTTATAAATAAAATTATTATTATTATTATTATTATTATTATTATTATTATTATTATTATTATTATTATCTCACAGGCCTCGATTAAAGTGCTAAATGCGAATGTTCATGACAGCACAATTAGAAAAAGAACAAGAACTTCTCATAATGGACGAGTTGTACGAGAAAGCCTCGTCTGACTGAAACGGCCATCAGAGAAAAGGTTTACAAAGATGCATCTGAACAAGAACAAGATGTCTTGAAACAAGTTTGATTTCATTACGACGTGAAACAGCCGGTGGCATCGTAGGAAACATTAGGTGGCGTAGTGTAAAAGAGGTATGTGGTGTGCAGGGTGCTGTACACAGTAAGACACGAGAGAGAGAGGTATAAGAAAGAGAGTCACAGAGAGAGAGAGATTGTAGGTGTGTAAGTCACGGCAGACGTGTGTCCAGCAGAGATACATGACACGAGGCTCAGTCAGTGAGTACATTACTTTAAGTTATAACTGTGTTTTTGCATTTTTCAATCTTTGAAATATTATTTTTATTATTGATTATTATTATTATTATTATTATTATTGAGATATTATTTGTTCCACATGGTAACAAAAGTATTGCTTGGAGAAACGGACCATGACAGTCAATGTTGAATATGCACGCCTCCATATTTGCCTCCATATTTGTACATTGGTTTTCTTGATGTTATAAAGTTGTATTGTGACATTTGGAGCTAGGGCCGATGTAAACACTGGTGTGCACTCTATAATGTTGTTGTTAACCTTAATTTAACTGTGCTCGCTTACATTGCCAACACTTTGTCTTGTAAACCCGTCTAAATTTGTTTTTTCTTCGTTCCAACTGGACCGTTTCTCTCATCCCTGTCAGCGTCGGCTCCTATCGAGCGCCATAGGAAATCCATCAGCGTGCGTCACCTCTGCACCCTGTAAGCCGAGGGACATACGCCGCTGCTTTTCCTGCTGTCACTTTTCTTGTCGATGCCCACCCTTTCCCCCCTCGCACCCCACCCATCATGGATTTGATGGATGTAGACGGGGGCCGTGGCTGTGGAGGAAAAAACTGCGGCCTTACGTCCGGCTTCCCGGAGGACTGCTCCAACCAAGAGTGCCAGTGGGAGGAACCTATGTTTGGACTGATTGAATTAGGTGGGTAAACATAAAAATAAAAACCTGCAGCTACAGCGCATCTTTCTCTTTAGAAAGAAAAAGAACAAATTGTTGATTGTAGGAAATTGTATCTGAATATTTCAAAGTCATATTTTCTCTTGGTGTTAAAGTA